GATACTTAAAACTCCTCTTCCAGGTGAAAGGCTAGCCTTCATAATATATAAAGAGCTCCTAGAAATCAAGAAAAACTCTCCACAGTCCAGTAGAGAAACAAAGAATGAACGTGAACCCACAGTTCCCATACAAATGGCCCTTACTTCCACACACGGGACAGGCTCAGGCTTCTCCACGATGAGGAAAGTGCACAGTAGGGCTGCACTGAATATGGGTTTTTCCACGTCTCAGATGGGCAAGCACTCAGGTGCTTTATGGCTGAGCTGTGAGGACAGCGTGCCAAAACTGCACACACACCTACCCTCTGATGGGCCGTGTTGCGTCTGGGAACCCACAGCCTGGCCTGTGCGTGCATGAATGAGCCACGCTCTCCAAAGGGCTGTTCTGCATTCGCCGTGAAGACAGAACTCTCCGTGTGGCAGGGCTGTGGCACGTGAAGAAGCGCAAGGTGCAGGGCACAGACGGTGGTCCCCGTGTCGAAGGAAGGGCTAGCTCCGTCTCCACAGTCCTCGGATTTCTTGCGCTTAGACAGAGAAGCACCGGAAGAAGAAATAAGCCAACGCGGCCGTTACCGCAGCGCTGAGGAGAGGCTTCAACTTGCATCGTGTTTAACGTTTATTTTCGTGTTACGTCCAAACGTCATGCCAGTCCCTGCAGGGACCCAGCATGGAAGCGGACTTCCCCATCTATGCCTTTCTGCAACATTTTGAGTTTTGAACTTTTATTTATTTATTTATTTTTTTTTTTTTAATGTTTATTTTTTTTTGGGGGGGGGGACAGAGAGAGACAGAGCATGAACCGGGGGAGGGGCAGAGAGAGAGGGAGACACAGAATCGGAAACAGGCTCCAGGCTCCGAGCCATCAGCCCAGAGCCTGACGCGGGCCTCGAACTCCCAGACCGTGAGATCGTGACCTGGCTGAAGTCGGACGCTTAACCGACTGCGCCACCCAGGCGCCCCTAATGTTTATTCTTGAGACAGAGACAGAGGATGAACAGGGGAGGGGCAGAGAGAGAGAGGGAGACCCAGAATCGGAAGCAACTCCAGGTTCTGAGCTGTCAGCACAGAGCCCGACGTGGGGCTCGAACCCGTGAACCGTGAGATCATGACCTGAACTAAAGTCGGACGCTTAACAGACCGAGCCACCCAGGCGCCCCGAGTTTTGAACTCTTAAAGTACGTTTACAAAACGTGTGAGTTTCTCCAAGGGCACGGCGGGTCATGAGTCACCGCGCCCACCGGTGCTCAGGACTGTCCTGCCTACAGTAGTCTGTCCATCTGTGTTCGGTTGTGCCTCTGCCCCCCGCCCCCCCAGGACAGACTGTAGTCTTCGCAGAGGAGGAGGAGGCCGGCTCTGCCAGAGGGTGCCCACAAGGAACAGCTGCCTCGCCTCTTACACTCACCCTCGCAGACCCCAGCCTTCCTGTTCTCTGCTCTGTCCCATCCCTGTCCGCAGACCGCGTCTCCGCGTCTCACGTGAGGTGCGTGCTCACGTCCTTCTCTGCTGCTCTGCTTCTCTTCTTCCCCGCCCTGGCCCTCGTTTCAAAAATGTAATTCCCTAGGGGCGCCTGGGTGGCGCAGTCGGTTGAGCGTCCGACTTCAGCCAGGTCACGATCTCGCGGTCCGTGAGTTCGAGCCCCGCGTCGGGCTCTGGGCTGATGGCTCGGAGCCTGGAGCCTGTTTCCGATTCTGTGTCTCCCTCTCTCTCTGCCCCTCCCCCGTTCATGCTCTGTCTCTCTCTGTCCCAAAAATAAATAAACGTTGAAAAAAAAAATTAAAAAAAAAAATGTAATTCCCTAGGGGCGCCTGGGTGGCTCGGTGGGTTGAGCATCCGACTGGATTTCGGCTCCGGTCTTGATCCCAGGGCCGTCGTATCGAGCCCCGCGTCGGGCTCTGCGCTGACAGTGCGGAGCCTGCTTGGGATTCTCCCTCTCCCTCTCTCTGCCCCTTCCCTGCTGTGCTCATGCGCTCGCTCAAAAAATGTGTGTGTAACATACATTTCCCTGAAGTGCTGAGAGGGAAGAATTAGAACTGCGACAAGAGTTACAAGCACATCGGGGCGGGTTTTGCGCGTGGCGGGCAGGGGCTGGCTTAGGAAAAACCATTTTGTATTCATGCCCTTTCTTCTCCCGCCTTGATGTGTCACACTTGCGGCTTGATGGCGGGGGGGGGGGGGGGGCCCAGATGATACAAGGTTAGGGAGGCAGCTGCTGCGGGGCCGTCCGTTGCATTTGAGAGGCCTGTGTTCCTTCTTCTAGCGAGGCGCTTGGCCAGGGACGGGTGTCCCGGCTCCCTGCCTGCGGTGTGGACGGAGGGCGGGACTGGGACAGCGAAGCCGGTGAAAGTCCGAGCGAGCTCAGAGCCGGTCGGTAGGCGTCTCCTGCCAAGGACCGAACAGGCAGGTGGCCTTGTTGGCGGTTCCCCCTGGGGGACCCGCCCCATCAGAGCAGGTGCACGGAAGTGTGGTGCTGCGACACGGGCCTCCCTCCCGAACGAGTGGGATGTGAACCAGTGGCCTCGTGTTCCTCTCTGATGAGACAGGTTGAGGGAGCTTCCCCTGCAGATGCGTAGGCCTTGATCTGACTTGTCGAGCGCCTGGTTTAGAAACAGAAGAAGGGGCCTTTGTTCTCAGACCCGGGCACCCGACCGCTGCCCCCAGGGACGCCGGTGCCACTGGGCGGCTGTGAAACAGCTGCCCTCCCCCAGGCCCTCTGCACTGAGCGTCTGCAGAGGGGACAGGGTGTTGATGCCTTTCTCCTTCTTCTGTCACAAACTTCATTCAGAGCGGCGGGCCCCTCAGCTTCCCTGGCTTCCCTGGCTCTTCAGGAGTTAGCCTGCTGACCTGAGTCCGGGGTGCCCCTGCCTCCTGACCGCCGACGCCTACCTGCTCAGCTCCCACGTAACGGGAGTCCAGCGGCCGCCTGATGGGTTTAGTACAGAGAGGCAGAAACACCTGATCATCAGAGCCCCCAGAAGCGGGCGGTGTGGAGGGGACGCAGGGCCGGGCGTGACGTCTACAGAGCTGGGAGGGGGCTGCACACGGCCGGGGGTGAGGGGCACACAGCTGGGGGGAGCACACGTCAGAAATTCTGTCCTCACTCTTCTGTGATGGCCTTTGACCTCCGGATGGAGCGTGCCATGTCTCTATGCACGTGTTACCCCAGATCAGTTTTTCTGGAATCGATCCAGGAGCCTGTTCGGTGTCGCGGCCACGTTCCGAGGGTCACCGTCTCCAAGGATGGGGGCGTCCGTGATCTGTGTGTCTCTCCCGCTCACGGATGCCGCTGGATGTGTTGTGTGTTTCCTTGGCCACTCCAGTAGTCGAGTGCGGGTTTCTAAGGTGGGGTCCCCCAGCTGGCGAGAGGGCATCCTGGCATGAGACCTAGGTCCTTGCCTCCCGTTCTGCCCTTTCCTCTCCTACGTGCAAACAGGAACTTTGTCCCACCTTCAGGCTTTCACCCGAAGCCGTGCAGATGTTATCCTCTACCCGAGTGTCTGGGGCTCGATCATCTGAGCCCCTTGACCAGCCAGCACGTACAAAATGCCCCCAAGCCCGCCAGCCTGGTGTGAAATCCGTGCTCGTGGGAACACTGATGCCGCCTCTGAGCCAGGCTCCCTCCTCCAGGATTCCAAGTCCTCAGCCCCGGGCGTCACTTGCAAGCCCCTTGCTCCCGGGCACCCGTCTTCCTCGTCCTCCGGGGCCCCGTCCTCCGTGGCCCAAGCACCCTCCACCTCTGTGGTCTTCCTACCCAACACGGGTGTGACTTCCGACCTAGAAGGTCAGCTTGGACCCCGCGCCCTGCCCTTTGGCTACGTGCTCCTGCCTCTCGACGGCTCTGCTGGTCTCAGAGGCGCCTCAAATGCAGTGGCCCCCAGACTGAGCTCCTCCTCCTAGCGGACCTGTCCACCGGCACCCGCCTCTTCGATCTTGCCGGGCGGGTGGGTCCCCTGGCCCCTCCTGCCCAGATCCCAGGGGAACAGCCTCCTCCTCCCGTGTCCGGGGTCGCCCCCATCTCCACCCCCTCTGCCCTTGGCTGCGCGCGCCTCTCCTTCGGGTCCCGCTCACTCTCCATTGTGGTTCCCTCAAGACGCCAACCTGCAGACCCGCCACCTTGACCCTCCCAGGCCCCTCAGGCCTCCTCGGGGTCCCCGCGCGGCATCCGAAGCCCCGTGCCGTCTGCGTCCCACATCCCGAGGGATAGGCTCGCCTTCGCCTCCGTAACGACTCTGCAGAAGATCCCAGCTGCCCCTCGGCTTAGGCGCCCCCTCCTTCCCCTGAGCCCCCAAGTCCCCAGTGTCTCCCGGCCGTCACACGCACACGGTGGTCTCCTCCAGAAACCGGGAGCGGGGTGCGCGTCACATCTCTGCGTCCGGGACCAAAGCAGCGCCCGGCACCAGCGGGTCCTCGGACGTGTGCTGAGCACGTGAACCCGCAGCCGTGCAGGTGCTTGTGGGTGCAGCGCGGCCCGAAGAGCCGGGGGAGCCGCGCCCCTGACCGTGCGCTTACCCCTGACTCCACGGCACCGCCTCAGCGCTCTTCCTGTGGCGTGAGGACTGGGCCTCTGCTCTGGGAAGCGCGGGCTGAAGTAGGAACATGTGACACGAGTGACTCCCAGAGATCATTTTCCCAAAATCCCCAGGGAAGCTTCAGCAGGGGCTGGGGTCTGCGGCGACACCGGAGGGTTTCGAGCGCCGGGCGCCCCCCTCTCGAAACGCGGGAGGAGGGGAACGCGGGAAGGGAGGGGGTGGGCAGGGGCACAGAGGCGAGGGCGGCCTCCAGGGCCCCCTCCCGTTGGAGCGGCCACGCGTGCGAGGGAGCGTGAGGTGCGTCTGCGGGCACCATTCCGGCTCCTTTGCCGAGCGGACGTTGGTCGCGGGAGGAGAAAACTCCTAAGGCAGCCGACCCTGACCGCACGTCCGTCATTCGCCCGTGACAGGGAGCGAGAGGGCCCTTGCTGGCACGCGCACTCACGGTCTCTCCCTGTCTCTTTCTCTCCCCAGTCGTGCCAAGCTGACCTGGTGAAGGACAACGGTCACAAATACTTCCTGTCGGTCCTGGCGGACCCGTACATGCCAGTAAGGCTTCGTCCCCTCCCGGGACACCCTCGGGGTCCGTGTCGTCTGTCTCGCCGGCGTGTCATGCTCTGGGGTGGCCGTGGCCGGGGCTGCTCCCTGCGGGCGGGGGTGGGGGGGGCACGTCGGGGCGGGGGCGGGCGGCGTGCACCTGATGTCAGAGCCGCTCCCTCGGTGCGTCCGCGTAGGAGAGACGCGCGGCCTGGCCTGGTTGTTTCCGCTGCTCTGCCCCCCTGGCGCATCTTCTCAGCACAGCAGGAGCCGCTCTCCCTCGCACCCTGTCAGCCGCGTTAGATTAATGAGTAGATATGACAGCTCATGTGCCTCGTGAAGGTTCTGGAACACGACGAGAGGCAGATGTGCCTTATGAATCAGGAAGGAAGGCAGGGGAGGAAAGAAGAGTGTGAACGTTGACGTTCCAAGTTAGCTTATTCTGTGAGACGCTTAACGGTAGGGACCTGCGTACACGGCACCCCACGGCTGCACCGTCCCCGACTTCTGGGCTCCGTCCCTGTAGCCCCCAGCACGGCGGAGGGAACCGGAGACGTCCCAAGTCCCCTCCTCGATGTCACTTCGTCTCGCGGGCGTGTTCCGAGTATCAGCGCTCATCCCCACGGCTTTTCTAAGCTAAATGCTGGTTACAAGAAAAATCAGGAGACGTTAAAGGCTGGATCATTACAGAAAAGGCAGGTAATGCACGTGTGTCTCAACTCAAGTGTGGGAACAGCCTCATCCTTGCTGGTGCAAGCTGACACTTCACGTGAGGCCTGGAAACAGCCGCGTCCCTGCTTTTCGGGCAAGAATCCAGTTGACCAAAGGGACAAGGACACCGAAGCGGTGATCGTGGCCCAGCGGTGAGCCGAGCCGGCACACATGGGCCCCGCTTCTTTGGCTGCAAACACGTTGACGCTTTGAACCCATAGTGACATTCGAAAGAAAGAACATGGCCACCATGCCAAAAACTGAAGCGAGAAGTCTGAGGGGAACCACAGCGGGAAGGGGGCGCTGACCCTGGGGTTCCCTGTGCACACGGACCCTGGTCTGCACCCAGGACGGGCCGAGCCGCAGCACCGTAACGGACCCCTGCGGATAGGGAGCATTCGAGGCTGCCCCCCCCACCCCCCACCTCTCACCCCCCATGGGAAGGGCTCAGCAAAGGGCCCCGTTTGTCTCTCCACGTCTGGGCCGAGGTCTCTGGGGCCCTGGAAGAAGCAGAACCAAAACCCTGCAAGGCGCTTGCACGGCCCGGAGCCCGCGAGACTCAGGCCAGAGGCACAAGCCGGCTCCTGACCCGCAGGACGGAGCACTGAGCGGAGTCAGCAAACAGGAAATTAGCAGCCAAGAACCGAACGTAATAGAGTTCTCTGGAAAAGACTATAAAATCCATAAGGGTAAGTATGTTTTAGACGATTCAGTGAAACAATTTGTTGCTTTAATTAGGTCCAGAAATACACCACTGGGTTGTTTCTTCAGAAGTACTTCTGGGGCGCCTGGGTGGCGCAGTCGGTTAAGCATCCGACTTCAGCCAGGTCACGATCTCGCGGTCCTGAGTTCGAGCCCCGCGTCGGGCTCTGGGCTGATGGCTCAGAGCCTGGAGCCTGTTTCCAATTCTGTGTCTCCCTCTCTCTCTGCCCCTCGCCCGTTCATGCTGTCTCTCTCTGTCCCAAAAATAAAATAAACGTTGAAAAAAAAAAAGAAGTACTTCTGCATCTGCTATAAGGAAATGATCTATTTTTTCCTTTTTACTCATCCTCAAAAAGGACCGACTAGATTCTTTTAATCAGTAGGCAGTTTTTTGCGGGGGTCCTGTAAGCGGAAGACGCAGACATTGCCGTCCAAAGCTCCGTGGATGAATCGAACGATAGAATGGCACAGTCAGTGAGAGAATTCCTGGAGGAATCACCTGGAATGAAGCACATGAAGA